GGTATTGCAGATGACAGACTCTTTGTGACCAATTTTCAATACTGATCCACTTGTAATCACTTTATTAAATCTGGTCAACAACAGGGATTTTGCTTGTCTAGAAAGATATTGTAAATGTATTTAATTCATTTCCTTAGTTATAAGATTGCATATGATGTAAGAACAAAAAATGTATAATCATAACAACATTGCTATTGTGTAGAAAATAAATGTAGCTAGTCTTAGTTTGCAGGTTGAATTATGAAGTGACAATTGACAAATCACGTGTACCCATTTTATTCTTTATCTTAAATACTATTATATTTACTCGCCATTTATGGTACTTTTTTAGCACTATATTTTGAAGTTTCGTACCAATTTGTTTTGTTTCTAAATTTCTTTTGTAATATCCTGCTCTTGTTTGTTTTGCCTTTATGTTTTGTAAGTAAAGAATGTTTTATATGTTTGACCTTCTTAAGGTTTCTTAAGAAACAAAACTTGATTTTCTGGTCTTGGTGGGTTTAAACTTGACTCTTGAGTAATGCTTTACTGTTTAGCAGACAAGCAAATTACTGGAAAAATTACCGGTAATAATTCTATGTAAGTTATTGTTGATGCTCTATTTATTTATATATATATATATATATATATATATAGATATATCTATATATATATATATATATATATATATAACAACTACAGTTAATCTATGGCACTTAGGGGGCCCTTTTATGTTGTTAACAAGTTGCATCTAAAAATATGTTTTATGCTCTTTATATATAACATGTAATAGCGATATATACACAGAACAAAATTATAAATACAACACTTTTGTTTTTGCCCCCATTTTTCATGAGCTGAACTCAAAGATCTAAGACTTTTTCTATGTACACAAAAGGCCTATTTCTCTCAAATATTGTTCACAAATCTGTCTACATCTGTGTAAGTGAGCACTTCTCCTTTGCCGAGATAATCCATCACCTCACAGGTTTGGTATATCAAGATGCTAATTAGACAGTATGATTATTGCAAAGGTGTGCCTCAGGCTGGCCACAATAAAAGGCCACTCTAAAATGCGCAGTTTTATCACACAGCACAATGCCACAGATGTTGCAAGTTTTGAGGGAGCGTGCAATTGGCATGCTGACTGCAGGAATGTCCACCAGAGCTATTGCCCGTGAATTGAATGTTCATTTCTCTACCATAAGCCATCTCCAAAGGCGTTTCAGAGAATTTGGCAGTACATCCAACCGGCCTCACAACCGCAGACCACGTGTAACACCAGCCCAAGACCTCCACATCCAGCATCTTCACCTCCAAGATTGTCTGAGACCAGCCACCCGGACAGCTGCTGCAACTATCGGTTTGCATAACTAAAGAACTTCAGCACAAACTGTCAGAAACCATCTCAGGGAAGTTCATGTGCATGCTCATTATCCTCATCGGGAGCGATAAAAGAGAGAGAGAGAAATTCTGTTCCCACTATCAAAATCAAATATACAGAAACTATTTAAAAATCTAGAAGATACTTTATTATATTATCAAAAAAAACCAATGAAAAAAAAACCCTGGCAGTGATTACCTGACTAAGTAGAAGTCAATTACAGCAATCAAAGCAAAAAGCACAAACAAATAATATAAAGTGAAAAATATAATATAGGATACAAAAACAAATTGAGCAAAGACTGAGTAATGGACGTCGCCGTAGCGATATACAAAAAATATATATCTGAAGTAGAGTTTAGTGTATCAAAAAAACTCAAACTAAGTAGCCAAAACAGGCTTAACAAAAAAAGTTAACATGTGCAGTATAATAAGATACAGTTATATCGATATGTCGAGTCAAATCCAGTACAAAGTATCTGCACAGTACAACTAAAGGGGGGGGAGGGGGAAGGGTTTTCTGCGGCAATGTAGAGTCTATCTAAAATAATAGTAGCAAATGACCGTGCTACATTGGCAGTAAACGTGAACTCAGTCTATGATAGTGATAGCAGATAAACGGGCTCCATTCTAATCTTCAATGGTTTATATACATATTAGTTGGTGCTAAATATGAGTCATATCAACAACAGATGCCTGAATCCACATTAAGATAATAGTGTAGAAATTAAATTCAATCGTAAGGGTAGACATATAGCATTCTCCAAAGCTTGTCTAATAGCCTAAATCAATGGTCTAACTACTAGTTATAAGATGTAATTCGTCACATAGTAAAGGGTCAAGAAAGGCTAGAATAGTGCCTTCAAGGGCACCCGGTACAGGAAAGGAAGTGGAGAAAGAGACAGTCCTGATGTTGAAATATGATGAACCATAGTTGTTATAGAACAGAGATACTGCAAAATCTAATACAATCTCACTAAAGATACCCTGATCTGTGTCTGCAAAATCTAATACAATCTCACTAAAGATACCATGATCGGTGTATAAGTCTCATGTGCACCGACGGCTGGCCGCCGTCAAAAGTCCCGAAGATACCTAAGTGGCAATGTAATAAAAGCCCATGATAAGTAACCCTTTGCAGGGCAAAGATACCAGGGAGCGCAAGAGACAAGGTATGTAGTAATAGAATATCGTGCCTCAACCCTTTGCAGGGCAAAGATACCAGGGAGCGCAAGAGACAAGGTATGTAGTAATAGAATATCGCGGCCTGACGCGCGTTTTGCCTAACTCAGAGGCTCATCAGGGGGAACTGATTCACGATGTCGCGGGGTTTAAAAAGCCCGCCCTTGAATCTGATTGGTCACATCTAGATTCAGGGGATAAGGGTAAGTACGTTAGCCGTAAAGGCTCAAAAGAATCTCGAAATTGGTATGCGGTTACACACTTTAATTGACTGTGAATAGAGGACAGTCCAGATGTGTAGATCGACCCAAGGGGAAAATTAAACACAATAATATAGTCGATCACAAAGAAGGAGGGGAGGAGGAAAGAATAGAGGAAAAAAGTTTTTCCAATATTTCCTCCATCCCTGTGGGTAACCACAATAACGGTATAGTCCAAATGACACATGTAAAAATGGGCTAAACCATGTCTATAAACCGAAAAACACATTAGAATGTACTTATAAGACAGAGTTTATGGTGTAACGCTGATGTACTGTGGTGCCATAATTAGTGTCATTTAAAGTCTGGCCAGACAGTACAAGGTATGAGAAACATTATTTAACAAATAAAGTATAATATTTTTTCTAATTATAGTGCCAATATTGAAAGGTAGTCTGTTATGAAAAAAATAATAAGAATTAATACCATATATTGTTATGCATAAAGTCTTAGTGACATTGTGAAAAGGTTAACTCTTTGATGTCTATGTATGCCTATCAATTTATTTGTGTATGAATGGTGTATAGTTGAATTCCTCGTTAAGGCCTAAGGGAGCTAAGGTCTTAAATGAAAAAATCCACTGAGATTCTTTTTTGAGCAAAGTTTTGTTAAAGTGACCCTTCCTTGGATTTGGTAGCAATTTCTCAATTGCCTGGAATCTAAGATTGTCAGGATTTACATCATGGAAATTGAGAATGTGTCTTGCCACCGGAGTCGGTGTGACAGTATTATTCACAGAGGTTATGTGCTGCAAATCCTGCGTCTGAACTGCTGAAAGGTTTTGCCAATATATTGAGTTCCACAACTACAGGTGATCAAATAGATTAATTGCGTGGAACTGCAATTAACTAAAGCATTCGGCTCAACCCTGATTAGGGTTTGAGTGGACGTGGTAAATTTGGAGGGTAAGATGTATTGGCAGGCCTTACAGTGCCCCCACTTATAGGTCCCCTTGGTGTTTGATAACCAATTGGTTGGTAATGAAGGGGGTGCCAAATGGCTGTGGACAAGTTGATCTTGTAAATTGATTGGTCTGCATGCTGTTAGAGGTGGATATTTTGGTAGCACGTGTTGAAGTTCTGGATTAAATAGAAGTATAGGCCAATTCTTCTTGAGGACTTGAGACATGGGTCCCCAGCCCTGATTAAATGTCGCAATGCATCGTGGGGCCTTACAGTCTTGTTTCGGTTTAGTGAAATGGAGGCTTGTGTTTCTGTCAATACTGCATACTCGATGAAAAGCATGTTTTAAGACATGGTTGGGGTACCCTAGTTCCCTGTACCGGGATTTCAATACTTTACATTCATTATAGAATGTCTGGTCTACCGAACAGTTCCGTCTAGCCCTTAGGTATTGGCTAAAAGGGATGGAAGCTTTCAATCTATAGGGATGATGGCTCTCCCAATGTAACAGACTGTTAGTTGATGTAGCCTTTCTAAACAGTTCTGTTTGAATAGTTCCATCCTGTTCTGGCAAAATTTTCAGGTCTAAAAATACCAATTCATGTTCATCTATCACATGCGTTAATTTTAGGTTAATGTCATTGTCCTCAATGACAAAATCCTCAAACATGGGGACAGACCCTGTCCAAAGGAGCAACATGTCGTCAATATATCTATGCCAGCTTAAGATGTATTCATGAAAGCGGCTAAATTTGGGTGTCGTGACGACATGTTGCTCCCACCACCCTAAAAACAGGTTGGCATAGGTGGGTGCACAGGCCGTCCCCATGGCAGTGCCAGAGATCTGCAGATAATAATGACCGTTGAACATAAAATAATTATGTGTTAAGATGAACTCTAAAATGGCCAGGATGAAGTTTTTCTGTCGGTCATTATATGCTGTATTGTTTAGGAAGAACCTGCATGCCCTCATCCCCATTTTGTGGGGGATATTGGTATATAATGCTACTACATCCAAACTTGCCAGTTGTGTGTAGGGTGGAACTATCATATTTTGTAACATTAAAAGAGTAGATTTCATATCCTGAAGATAAGATGGTAATGATAGTTCCATGGGGTGCAGGATTTTGTCAATGAATTTACTCAGGGATTCTGTGAGGCAATTGTTCCCAGATACAATGGGTCTACTGGGGGGGGGGGGGTCTCATGCCCTTGTGTACCTTTGGTAAACAATAGAATGTTGCGATTGTGGTAATAAAAATCTAAACTCATCCTTACAGATCACCTGTTGATCTCAGGCATCATTGAGTAGAGTAACTAGTTTTCCTACAAAGTTGGTAGTAGGGTCCGAAGGGAGGGTCCTATAATGCGTTTTGTCGTCAAGATGTGACATGCACATGTTGACGTATTCAGGTCGATTCACAAGGACAATGTTGCCCCCTTTGTCAGCTGGTTTTATTATTATATCCATTTGTTGTTTTAATTCTTTCAGGGCTTTACGTTTACAGGGGCTTAGATTACTGATGTCTGAGGTCTGGTTATCCATGTTTTCAAATTCTTTTAGTGAGAATTGGACAAAGAGGTCAACATGGGGTGTGTCTACAAAGTTTGGAGTGAAATAGCTCGGAGGTTTAAAATCTGGTCTAGAGGGGTCATTGTCATCTAGAAGACTATCCAAAGTTTTGGCGAGTTCATAGTCCTGTATAGACAGACCCACACTACATTGACTGCATAAAACCCTTCCCCCCACCCCCTTTAGTTGTACTGTGCAGATATTTGCACTGGATTTGACTCGACATATCGATATAATTGTATCTTATTATTCTACATGTTAACTTAGTGGGATCTCTCTCTCTTTTTTTGTTAAGCCTGTTTGGCTACTTAGTTTGAGTTTTTTTGATACACTAAACTCTACTTCAGATATATATTTTTTGTATATCGCTACGGCGATGTCCATTACTCAGTCTTTGCTCAATTTGTTTCTGTATCCTATATTATTTTTTTCACTTTATATTATTTGTTTGTGCTTTTTGCTTTGATTGCCATAATTGACTTCTACTTAGTCAGCTAATCACTGCCGGGGTTTTTTTCATTGGTGTTTTTTTGATTATATAATAAAGTATCTTCTAGATTTTTAAATTGTTTCTGTATATTTGATTTTGATAATGGGAACAGACTTTCTCTCTCTCTCTTTTATCGCTCTCTACTCTTCTAGGGTTACCCCCTTGTCTGTTCCTAGACTCTAGGACATTTATTCTCTGGCCAAATTTTCATCAGTTATTTATCCTCATCGGGGTCTCGACCTGACTGCAGTTCATTGTCATAACCGAATTGAGTGGGCAAATGCTCACACGTTTTCACACGTTTTCACATTTTCACTGTACAGGGCAGATGGCAGACAGTGTGTATGGTGTCATGTGGGTGAGCGGTTTGCTGATGTCAACATTGTGGATTGAGAGGCCCATGGTGGCAGTGGGTTTATGGTATGGGCAGGCGTATGTTATGGACAACGAACACAGGTGCATTTTATTGATGGCATTTTGAATGCATCAAGATACCGTGACGAGATCCTGAGGCCCATTGTTGTGCTATTCATCCACAAACATCACCTTGTTGCAGCATGATAATGCATGGCCCCATGTTGCAAGTATATGTACACAATTCCTGGAAGCTGAAAACATCACAGTTCTTACATGGCCAGCATACTCACCGGACATATCACCCATTGAGCATATTTGGAATGCTCTGGATCGGCTCATACGACAGCGTGTTCCAGGTCCTGTCAATATTCAGCAACTTCGCATAGCCATTGAAGAGGAGTGGGCCAACATTCCACAGGCAACAATCAACAACCTGATCAACTCTATGCGAAGGAGATGTGTTGCCCTGCGTGAGGCAAATGGTGGTCACACCAGATACTGACTGGTTTTCAAACCCCCCTGGACCTTCTCAATACCGTAAAACTGAACATTTTAGAGTGTTTTATTGTGGCCAGCCTAAGGCACACCTGTGCAATAACCATGCTGTCTAATCAGCATCTTGATATTCCACACCTGTGAGGTGGGTGGATTATCTCGGCAAAGGAGAAGTGCTCACTAAGACAGATTTATGACAGATTTGTGAAATCTAGACAGATTTGTGAACAATATTTGAAAAAATAGACCTGTTGTGTACATAGTAAAGGTTTTAGATCTTTGAGATCAGCTCATGAAAAATGGGGGTAAAAACAAAAGTGTTGCGTTTATAATTTTGTTCAGTGTATATTGACAAATGTATGAAAACACATTTTAAACAAGCTTTGAATCAAACAGTGAATAGAAGGTGTATTTTATATCTGTATATTAATCAAGTCTAAAAAAAATAATTTATGTGAAGGATTACTATATTTATTATAGCAAAGTTCTAATGTAGTGCAGTGAAGATAAGGGATACAGACTGGATAAGTTGACACCCTGGACCATTTAAAAAAAAAAAAAAGCAACCCTGCCCCCCCCAGACGTAATCACTTATTTAAAAAATAGAATTAAGCAAATTGTTTGATATCAAAACAGACCCACATCATTCCCACACATGAGGAGAACAAACAAAAAAGATAATGCAGAAACACTGAGACCAGGATGTACCTAGACCAGACTCCTAATTACTCAGTTGGCTAGTCTGTTGCTCTCATACATGACATGCATACTATGAAAAATTGCTTTAGACAAAATGGGTGACTGAAGAAGTAGCTGAGGTAGTAAAAACACAAATTATATTTAAAGAAAGACATTTTTAGAAACAGAAGAAGGCGACAGATAGAAAAGAATAACTACATAAACATGAGTTATCTGTATATAATAAAAAAAATTAGCAAATTCTTAAACTAGTCATATCAACCCAAGAGTCTCCCTCATGCTTTTACATATATATACTTATATGTCACCATATCATATTTGGCAGCCATTGAAGTGGAGTGCAGAGTGTCAGAAAGACATCAAATCATTCTTGACAGACAGACTGATAGAATCCTTGAATTTAGCAAGATTTGCATGTATGACTCTTTCTGCCTGGGGAAAGCCTGACGGTGCTCTCCTTTTTGAGATTTAGGGATTATACAAATGCAAGCAACGATGAGAGTAAACATATGCAAGATATGTTGACTACATTGTTCTGTATTTATGATGCATATATTACTTTAAAGGGACACTATAGTCACCAAAACAACTTTAACTTAATGAAACAGTTTTGGTGTATGGATCATGTCACTGAAGTTTCACTGCTCAATTCACTGCCATTTAGAAGTTAAATCACTTTTATTTCTGTCCATGCAGCCATAACCACACATCCGTGAATGTGACTCACACAGCCTGGATGAAAAAAAAATGTTTTCACTTTCAATCATATGTAACTTACTTCAAATGTTTTTATCTCCTGCTCTCTAAATTAAACTTTAATCACACACTGGATGCTTGCAAGCTATCAACAGTGCAGTGGACGAGAATTTTTAAATTAAACATAATTTGCAATAAAGGAAATACAAACATTAGATGACTCTTTGCAGGAAGTGTTTAGGAAGGCTGTGCAAGTCACATGCAAGGAGGTGTGACTATATTAAAAAACCAAAAGAAAGGTACAATTTGTGGCACTAAGAAGTTGCGCTAGAACACACTAGTGGGGTTAATCACATAAATCCCACAGATACAAAGACACAAAAATACAAAGTGTGCAGCGCTTGTGTGAAATACCTCTAGATATATGTCAATGGTGCATACACCGTATGTGAGTGTGTTAATCAATAAAAATAAGGATAAATACCCCAATATCGATAACTTTCAGTAGGTATTGACCCTGTATACAAAAGACAGGAAACCCATAGCATAATACTGTTATGGTAAATAAATTGATGTGATAGTCTATGTAGTCCTGTTTTCAAAAGAACTGGCTCAGGTAGTATCACTTGGCAAGATGTTTCTTGAAAGGATTCCAAAAAGAATATAGCTTGGTCCTCAATAAATAAGAGGAACAGGATAGGCAAACACCAATAAGAAAAATAAAAAGAGTAACATTTATTCAAAGAAGTATAAAATCTTACATCAGTGATGCCTTTAAAATAGCTCTAAAATAGCCTATTTTAAAGGCATCACTGATGTAAGATTTTATACTTCTTTGAATAAATGTTACTCTTTTTATATTTCTAATTTGTGTTTTTGGTGTGACTATAGTACCTAAACAAAGTGATTTAACTCTTAAACTGAAGAGAATTCAGCAGTGAGAATGCAGGTGCATGATATATACAAACCAAAATGGCTTCATTGAGCTAACAGCAACTATGCAACAATGTGCAATGTCAATCAGCAGTGGCCAAGGCCAGTAAGGTATTGTCATGCATGAAAAAGGGCATTCATTCTCGGGACAAGAATATAATTCTGCCTCTTTATAAATTACTGGTAAGCATATTGAATATGCTGTGCAATTTTGGGCACCTGTTCTAAAGAAGGATATTATGGCACTAGAAAAAGCGCAGAGGCGGGCTACAAAATTAATAAAAGGAATGGAACATATCGGCTATGAAGAAAGGTTAACAAATTTAAACCTATTTAGTTTAGAAAAACGTCGCCTGAGAGGGGATATAATAACATTATACAAATATATTGGGGGCCAATACAAACCATTGTGTGGAAATCTATTCACAAACCAGACTTTACATAGGACACGAGGCCATGAGTTTAGACTGGAAGAAAGAAGATTTCGTCTAAGGCAAAGGAAAGGTTTTTTTACTGTAAGAACAATCAGGATGTGGAATTCTCTGCCTGAGGAAGTGGTTTTATCAGAGTCCATACAGATGTTCAAACAGCTACTAGATGCATACTTGCAAAAACAGAATATTCAAGGATATAATCTTTCAATGTAGGGTAATAATTGCTTGATCAAGGATAAATCTGACTGCCATTCTGGGGTCAAGAAGGAATTTTTTTCCTAGCTTGTTGCAAAATTGTGCTTCAAACTGGTTTTTTTTTGCCTTCTTTTGGATCAACAGCAAAAAACAAATGTGAGGTAGGCTGAACTTGATGGATGCAAGTCTCTTTTCAGCTATGTAACTATGTAACTATATGTAACTATGTAACTATGTAACAGTCATTTTGGTGGCAAGAGTGTCCATTTAAAGGGACACTATAGTCACCTGAACAACTTTAGCTTAATGAAGCAGTTTTGGTGTATAGAACATGCCCCTTGCAGCCTCACTGCTCAATCCTCTGCCATTTAGGAGTTAAATCCCTTTGTTTATGAACCCTAGTCACACCTCCCTGCATGTGACTTGCACAGCTTCCATAAACACTTCCTGTAAAGAGAGCCCTATTTAGGCTTTCTTTATTGCAAGTTCTGTTTAATTAAGATTTTCTTATCCCCTGCTATGTTAATAGCTTGCTAGACTCTGCAAGAGCCTCCTGTATGTGATTAAAGTTCAACTTACAGAGAAAGATACAATACTTAAGGTAGATTACATCTGTTTGAAAGTGAAACCAGTTTTTTTTTCATGCAGGTTCTGTCAATCATAGCCAGGGGAGG